TCAGACTGCAGGTTTACTTGTGGTTCCTGGAGTTTTGAAACGTAGAATGGGAGGCAGAGCTTTCAGTTATCAAGCTCCTCTCTTGTGGAACCAACTTCCAGTTTCTGTCCGTGAAGCTGACACTCTGTCTACTTTTAAGATCAGACTGAAGACTTTCCTTTTTGATAAATCCTATAGTTAGACTTAGGTTTCCTGAATTATTCATTTCTGCTGCTATAGACTTAAGACTGCTGGAGCTCAAACTGAACACATTTCGTCACTCTGCTGCTGTCTTTAGTCTCTCTCCTCCACGTATATTGGTTATTATAACATGTTTTTTTGTCTCTTTTCCAGAAGTAGGTGCACCTGGACCAGTCCTTCTGTGTTTGCCTGTGTCTCTTTCCTGTCCTGAGCCTGGTTCTGCTGGAGGTTTCTTCCTGATTAGCAGGGAGTTTTTCCTCTCCACCGTTTGCTCAGGATGGGAGACTGTGATGAAGTGATTCAACACAATCTGCTGGTTTCTTCTTTAGATTGTTCTTTATGTACAGTGCCCTGTGACAACATATGTGACTTGGTGCTATATAAATAAAATGAATTGAATTAAATTTCTTCAGTACACTTCAGACTTCCAGCACAAGTCAGACTGCTGTTGACACAAATACTCAGATTACTCTGCAGTTGTTGGGTGTATCAGAGATGGACAGAGCTGGTGGACCGCCTAGGTTGCAGTTTTTAGCGCAGAGCCACTGAGAAACTTGCTGTTTCAGCAAGTAATTTAAAAACTGTACCTTTGAGGTTTAACAAATGTTCAAAATTTATTTAAATTACAAGGGGCATGGAAATTTCTCTTTTTGGTATTGAAAAAATATCAAACCGAATCTTGAAGTTTCTGTATCGTTGCACCCCATATACATATAATTCTGACGCTAGTTTCAACACAATGCATAGTTGCAGGACTGACAGACATGCAACCTAGAATGAAGATGTGACCGTGCACAAGGTTAAACTAGTGCAAAAAAATATAAAATTTGGCCTTTAGAAAAAAGAAAACTATTTTTCTTTTAATACTCAGTACATTTTATGTCAAATTTACTTTTTGATACTGAAGTACATACTGTAAACACTAAGACATTTACTCAAGATACTTTTACCCAAGTGATTGGCAACATACCTGTACTTTAATCAACTATACCAATTTGTGGTACTTTATACACACACACAGTACTGTTCAAAACTCAGCATTTTACTTAATTTTTGTATTAATACACTGCTCAAAAAAATAAAGGAACACTTAAACGCACTCTAACTCCCGACCTTAATCAATGAAATATTCGCATTGAGTACTTTGTTCTGTACAGAGTTGAATGTGCTTCACAAAAGTTTGATTTACTTGGACTTAGCGTGCGTTGTTTAAGTGTTTCCTTTATTTTTTTGAGCAGTGCATCTCTTTATTTTATGAATGCAGAACACTAAAAACCAGATTAAGCTGAACTTTAAGTGAAACTTCATTAACCTTGATTTGTGTTTTACACTGAGCAACAGTTTTGACAGCATGATATGTTTGGAACTATCCTCTGCTCCACAGAACCTCAAGTCTGACACTAATGGCGCTGAGGAGCAATGAATGTTTTCACAACAGGATTTAAAAAAGAAAAAAAAAAAACAACATGCAGGGAAGCCATTTATTATGTGCCAACAAGACTCAACACAAAAACAGGCCTGAAAAAAAATGAAGTTCTTATCATCAAAAAAAACCTGTGCTTCACCTCAGAGGACACGAGTGCAGCTGCTGAGCTGAGGCCAGCAGCACCGACGGATCGGGTCTGAGGCAGAGTTCAGCCGGGACGAGGCTCAGATGATGTATTTGAAGCTGAAGGTGCTGTCGCACGACAGCCGCTTGCCTTTGCATCTGCCACACAGATCCTGTCTGTGGGGTCGCTTGGGGTCAACGTGGCGCTGTGTCAGGGCGCAGGAGCAGCGGGCTTTGTTACAGGTCTGAGGAAGAACGTGTGATGAGTGACCGGCCTTTTACAGTTAAAGCTGTGAGAAACAAGTCTTACATGGCACGTGATGTCCTCAACACGGTACGGGTTGAAGCTTTTCTGGCATTTCCTGCAGAACTGCTTAAAGTAGACCTGAACATGAAGAGCAGAGTGTAGGTTACAAACTGTCACCAGACGAATTTAAGACATTTAAGCATTTAAAAAAGGTGAACTGAAACCAGTTCTTACCTTGTTTGTACCCTGAACACACCACACGTAAGCACTCTCCCATCGCAGGTTACACTCCCTGCAGTGATAATATCCATACTTCTGTTCCAGGAACTAGAGGCAAAGACCAGAGAGTGGCCACATCATGTCTCGTCTTTAAAGTTCAAGTATATATAACGCCAAGTCACAACATGCATTGTCTCAGGGCACTGTACATGAAAAAGAACAATGTAAAGAAGAAGCCAGCAGATTGTGTTGAATCACTTCATCACAGTCTCCCATCCTGAGCAAACGGTGGAGAGGAAAAACTCCCTGCTAATCAGGAAGAAACCTCCAGCAGAACCAGGCTCAGGACAGGAGACCATCTGCCTCGACCGGCTGGTTGGAGGACAGGAAAGAGACACAGACAAACACAGAAGAACTGGTCCAGGTGCACCTACTTCTGAAAAAGAGACAAATAAACATGATAGAAATAATTACAATAAACATGTAGGGAAGAGAGACTAAAGACATGCTTCAGTTTGTCCACAACTAGTCTGTAGTTCATCACTCAGAGACAAGGCTTTAAAATCAGGACTGATGAGTTCTTCAGCTAATATACATTAGGTGTGTGACAAAAAAATAATTTTATACAAAAAAATTAATTTGGCTGCAGCTTCAATATCAAAGAAAACAAAATTTGTTCAAATTAGTTACACATTAAATTATGCAACTTCACTAAGAAAAAAAATTAAAGTGTAAATTTCAGCAGTGACCCAGTCAGATTATGGGCTTAAAGAGTCAATGCTTTGTGAAAGTTGTTCACAATGTAGAAGATTACTGCATATTATTTACTGCAAGATGTACAGCTGACTTTTGATCAGTTGAATCAAAGAAAATGACCTCACCTGTTCCTGTGGAGGATCGTCACATACCTACTAAAAAAACTTATTTGAAATTACTCATCCTACAGCTTCAGCGGCTGTTCTCTGAAAGTTTCAGATCTAACTCTGCAGACTGGCCTACAGCAGTCTGAAGTTTTTCCTTTCAGATTTTTACAGACAGTAAAATGAAACTTGACAGGACCCCCGCGTGCGTTGACTGACCTGGAAGCGCACGCGGGCCTTGCCTTTGATGGCCTCTGTCTGCAGCGCTTCTTCGCTCTTCAGCGGTTTGGACTTCTTGTTTTGGACCTTCTTGGTCTCCTCGGTCTCCTCCTTCTTCTCCTCCTCGGCGGAGGTCTGCGAGGACTCGGTCTGCTCCCCAGCCGGTGGCTCTGCTGTGGACCGAACCGGGTCCGAGGACTCCGGTTTCCCGTCGCCGTCTTCCACCAGGAAGGACGTGACGCTCCGGTAGGCTATGGGGGAGTACACGGCCAGGGTGCGCGGGTAGCGCACGCCGCCCGCCGCCTTGGGGCTGCCGGGCGTCTCGGGCTCCTGCGGCCTCTTGCGCTGGAAGTCCCGCTTCATGGCCTGCAGGGTCCGGGGCCCGATGGAGCACTGCACCGAGGAGTCCTTCTTGGGGTTGACCTGCACCGCCACATCCTTGGTGTTGGCCTTCCTCAGCCTCGGGGTGAGTTTGGGGTTGATCTGGGATAAAATGGACTTGAGCTGCGCGCGCTGCTGGTTGTTGAAGGCGTCAGAAGTGTCTCCGTACTGGGAGAGATAAGTCTTATACTTCCAGCCAGGCTCTCTCGGCCTGACGTGTCTGTAAGGATTATAAGAGGAGTAGAAATAGCTGTCCACTGGCTCCTCTCCATATGTTGCCATTTTGTTCAACCAACCCAGCGAGTTTGTAACTATTTAAATAGACTGAGCCGCACGCGCCTCCATCAGGACTAATGAGAGGCAGGTGTGCAGCTGGACAGGTTCACAGCTCACAATAAAACCTGCTCTTCTGCTCAAACTTACTGATTGATAATTCCTGATGTTGAGGTTGACTTTTCTTTTTTAGAAAAGAACAAAGAAAAATTTCACGTTATGAATAAATATATGATACAAGAATACTTAAATGGATATATATACAAATCTACACAGATGCATCAAAAATACAGCTAATAAGGTAGGGATAGCATTTATTGTGCCACAGCTTCAAATTAAAGTAGGGAAAAGGATCAGTGATGGAGTCTCAGTGTATACAGGAGAAATGCTTGCTTTGCTTTTAGCAGTTCAGTGGGTGGAAGAGGTAAGACCATTAAAATCAATTATTTGTTCAGATTCTAGTTCTTCGTTAGTCAGTTTACAAAATAATAAATCAGACAGTAGACCAGAAATATTAATTGAAATAGAACAAACACTTTACAGAATCGATATGATGGGGC